TACGACTTTATCGCTTCCTGTCCGCTCGTGTTTTCCTCCCTCCTGTGCTCTCTCTCACCATCTCACTGAGAGGTGACAGTCTGACAGGAAGCGTCTCCGTCTCTCTTGCTTGATTTACCTCAGCAAACAGACAAACATGAAAAGACAAGAAAGCGCCCAGGCCGTACTCCAGGTGTGAGTATGTGTTTAAAGAAAAGCAGTAAAGGAGTAAATAACAGACACACAAATTAATGTGATGTATACGATCACAGTGGAGAGTCGGTTGACAGCTTCTCTCTTTAACATTCATCCACGTCATTGTCACAGTGAAACTTGAAATCTGGCATCTCCAATGTGCAATATCACAGCTTATGTTGTGTGTTTGTTATAAAACCATTTATTTTGTCTTAATGCTGCACTTTAAAAGCAGCAATATTGAGAGAAGGGGTTTATGTTTGTGTGTTGATGTATATGTTGAACTTCATGTTCTCTCTTCAATGACATTTTCTTTTATCCATGCAGTTAAAATCCAGACATGACTGGAGTAATGTAGAAAAGAAAGATATTTTAATGCATTTGTCAAATGAATAGCTTGTGTGTACTTGCAGCATGTGTGCGTTTCCTACCTGACAGTGAGGATGTGGATTTGAACAACCCATCATGGCTCCTTTATTCTCAAATATCTGAAAACAGAAAAAAAGAGGGTTAGCTCGTCCCTTGTTCCAGTAATGCAGGAAACATCTCATCCATATCCTCCTCTTTTCTGCTACAGTTTGAATTCGAGAGTTTGCCCGGAGGTATCATTAAAATTTAATCCAATCAAAAACAAGGCACGTTAAAATGAAAAATTGGAAAGAGCAGAAAACTGGATTATCAGGTTGTTTTTTTTTTAAGTATCTAGGCAGGAAAAAATCTGATCAATAATGAGTGAGTGTAGTTCATACTTGAACCCAAGGGTAGGTAGCTCCGAGCTCTTCAACGAGCTCCGTCCACTTGTCAATCACCTTGACAACCTCTTCTTTTTTCATGAGAGGGAGAGTGACGTCAGACCAGGGATGGAAACACATGACCTTACTGTAAAACACACAAAGAACACAAAAGAGAGGAAGACTTACAGCCGATCTCCGGTAGTGCATCACTGGCCACTGGAATAAAGTTAAATTACTGATTTCGTTTTCCAAATTTACTGGAAAGGTCACAAGAGACCTGCATGACTGGGAGGGGCTGACATTAGAAACACTGGGTTTGTGTGGTCAGAGCTCTAATCGTGATATTCAAGATAAATAATGAATAAAGGCTGAGATGTTGTAACACCTCAGTGTGTGTGGGTCTGTGTGTGTTTAAGAGATTATTGTGTGTTTTTTCTCAGCCTTACCTACAGAACCAAAGAAAACCGAGTAACATACAGATGAGATTTCGAGCATCAAACTCTCCCCTTAGGGCCTGAGCAGCTTCACGATCAATACTTAAACAAGTGTTTACGCTCGGAGCGAATCTGAGTTGTTGCATTTATGAATCGCACATGAGTGTATCGCCTTTGCCTTTGTGTGTGAACCATACCTGCAACTTCAACCTTTGGCTGCCCATCACTCTACCATCTCTCTCTCTCCAAAATATGCATGTCTTTGAGCCCTGTATGTGTGTGTGTGGGATTGTGGGTTAATGCATGTATTAAAAATGAAAAAAACATGAGTGTAAAAGAATTTCCCCTTGTGGGATCAATAAAGGAAGTTTAAGTTTAAGTTAAGTTAAGTAAGACCCACAACTTAGAGAGAAACAGCTGAGAAAGATCAGTGTGATGTTTGATTTTCAGAGAACAGAAAAACGGACCACGTAGTCTATTTAATCCAGAGAAAGATATCGTTTGAAAACAATGTTATTATTTGAACTTGTAATTACGAGTAGATTCGTTCAGCTTGATAACAAATGTACTCACCTCTTCCATCACCCTATCTCTCTTTTTGTGTCCCGTGACCCAGACGATCCAAATCCAACCCCCCCGTTCTGTTTTCCCTCTAATTGGCTCTTTGAATGTTGCTGCAGGGCAACAACCTCTGCACGGTCTCTTTCCAAGTTCCTCTCTCTCTCTCTGACATGACCTCAGTGTAACGTGTCTATCAGTGCAATTTCTGTGCTTCATTACTCTGCGACTGTGACAAGAAATGACTAACAGGCTCTATGTCACACAAGGGATTTAAACACTCCAGGTTCCATTTTTTCGACCCACACATGCAGCACAAGGAGTCGATTTAATCTATTATTCAGCTGTTGGGTGAGTTTGCTGCAGGATCGTTCAGGAATGTCTTCAAAAATAAAATATCTACACTAGAGGCTGACATGTAAGAACATGAGCTCAGCTCTGCGGGGGACATCATAGTTATACACTTCTGTGCATCGTGCATGAAACAAAGCAGCAGCTCTCCTGCTTCTCCTCCAACATTAATGCGACAGTCAACCTCATTCATGCAGTGATTCTTTTAAGTAAAGTGTGGAAACATCCCCATCTGCTGGTGACATACTGGAAACACACACCTTGATGTACTCTAATGGATGGTGTGTGTATTTTTTGTGTAGCTCAAGATGTCATGAAGTGTGTTGATTAACAAAATGATCTTCGCCCACCAGTTGATGATGATGATGATGATGATGATGATGATCACTAATGAATGAATGTTGCCTCAGTTTTCTGATTACACTCAACAGTTTAATAATTAATGTATCATATTTTTGAGTTGATTAAGATGCATCCTCAATAAATGATAATCTTCAAGTCACTTATAATTGCCTTTATTTAATATACAGCCCATAATAACCACATAATATTTTAGTCTATTGGTAAAGGTGAAATATCAAACATGTGCAATCGATCAAAGATTTTAGAACACCGTTTTTCCAGCAGTTACTGAAATTTACAGTGTGTAATGTTTCTGTGTATTCTGAACATAAAAAACAGACTAAATAAATCATAGAGAGTTTTAAAAATTTCAATTTGAGCCTCTTAACTTTCTTCATTTGCTGCAGAAAAGCAGGAGAGGAAGAAAAATGTCCTGTTTCTAAAATATTTACATGGTTTTTCAGTTTTGGTGACTTACCTAAGTCAGATATCTACACATATAAAATGTTTATACCTAGAGACTGTTTACATTAATTATCCCTGAACTGTGATGTGACTGTGACATCAAGCTTTATTCTTACCAGACACCCCTCGCAGCTTTAGACTGGAACAACGGGTCTTGACACGAACCTGAAGAACAAAATAGCAAATAGCTGTGTTCATTTCACCTAACAGCATGGAGTATTCAAAGAAAAAAAAACTTTAGAGTTTTGTTGTTTCACAGAAATATCTTTATTTTTTGTAAAGTGAAGCAATTGGTTATTACACTCACCTGGATCTGGAGCATGTGGCTGCAGAGCAGGGAAATCGTTTTCAAAAGCAAAAGTGCTCTCATAGTGTGGATTTACCTGGAGAGATAGAAACAGACACAACAGATTCTAAATTGATTTTTCCCAGTGTGATGTGGGCCTGAGTTGATTTGCAGTATCCGCCTGGTCTTACATCTCCATTTGCACGTGTGTTCCCAGGACACAGCGGGTTGTGGGGGTCATGTCTGGGTATGTGCTCCTCAGGGGGTTTTTCCACTTGTCCCGCCCAGGGTCTCTTCATGCGATGGGCCGACACCAGGACCCAGTTGTCCCGAAGAGGGTTATAACGCAGGTGCTGGTGCTCTGAGGTAAACCAGACGAGCAATAAAGACAAGGAAATGGAATCAGGCAACTAGAGGGAATTGTTGATGTTGCAACAACTGCAATAATAATTCTAATCAATGAATTTATATATATTGTTATAAATCAAATCATCAGCTTCAAGTTGTATTTGTCATGTGCAAATTAGTACAGGGTCAACAGTATGAAAAGGTGTTGGACGAGAAGAAACAGGAATAATTAATTATTTTATTGATTGATTAAAATAAAAGCAAGGTAGAAAGAGACTGAGTCAGTCAGATGTGAAAACTTTATGTTAACATTGAAGCGCATCTAAAAGCATTCGGGATCTGATGAGTAAAGTGTGTGAGGATTAGATGAGATCTCTGTTTACTGTTTGATCATTAACAGGAACTCAGGTCACGAGACTGCACAGCTGTTTGTGGTTTTACCAGACTCCTTTGAATATTATGTTGATTCTACGCTCATTGCCGTATCGAACAATCCTGCTTCACACTAGATGAAAGCCCAAGATGATTTAATGAATCATTTTGACCAACCGGTGAATTCGTCTGGCAAACAATCTACGAAGCATCGCTGTGGTTCCAAACATTATGCACTTTTAATCATCTGCTCGAAAGTGCGATACACTTTGATTCCAGCAGCTGTCGATGTCGATAAAAATGAAAGTTCAACAGTGTGTTCTGATTATTTGTTAAATGTCTGATTGGCAAAGTGAAGTAAACCCGACAGATATCAAATAGAGTTTGGAATCACAAACCCCAGCACAGACGTAAACTCTCGTTTTCAACAGTTACTGATTCCCCAATGAATGAAATGATCTTTTTAAACGTGATAAGTTGAGTGAATACGAACCTTTAGGATCAAAACTAACTTCCTCTCTGTCGCTCATGTTGATTTAAATCTTTAAGAGTTTCCTGTTCTCTGTTAAATCAACTCTGTGCTGAGTCGAGTTATCTCATGTCAACAACTACCTCCTGGACTTCCTGTTGTTTGACAAGTGTAGGTAAAAGTGCTGTTTGGGACACATTTACGTATGAAGAAAAACCTCAAAAACACAAAAAAAATATGAGCTAAAACGACAAACTAAGAGAAACACATGCAATAAAATGTTTTATATAGATAAACCATCTAAAATAAATCTGTGCGGGTTGTTTTATCATTAAAAAGAGGCTAGTAAGAGTAAAAACACCAAAAGGGGGGTTTTGCTTGGTGCTGGCAACCTGGGAGTAGTGGTTGACCACGCGACAAACTCGGCTCGTGATTGGCCAATGGCGACGTCCCGCCCCCTGCGTGACCAGGAAGAAGCCGGGCCATGGGACACGCCTCTAAGAAGCTACCTGAGCTGCACATGTAGTCAAACCTCTCTCTCTCTGTTTGTGTGTCTGTGCGCCTGTGCGTGTGTGTGTGTGTGTCCGCCATGTCCGCAGTTAGAACGTGTTTGCGGCTGCTCGTGCTCGCCGCAGTCTCCGTCCTGGTCGTTCTGCTGCTGCGACACTGGATCGCCACCAAACAACACGTGTTCGACAGAGACGAAGTCGCCAAATTAGCCAAACAATACTCAGGTGAGTCCTCCCTCCCCTCCCCCCTGCTCCTCAAGTTCAAATCCACATTAAAGTCAAACGTGTGAGTTTTCAGTTCTCCTCCCGGGATAGTCACTGTCGATGTGTTGTTCTCAGGACAGGACCATGAGCAGGCCTTCTCCAAAGTGGTGGTGGAGCTCAGGAAGAGGTAACTGCTCTGCACGGGGGGGAGGTTTGCATGAGTGTTATGTAAGCAGCTCCAAGCCAAAAAATTAAAGTGGCAACACAGTCATCAAACTTACGTAAGTTGAATAGCAAATAGTTACAGGACAGATACATGTGTGGTTGGTGATATCAGTAGACTGGTGAGCAAAGTGCGTGATGTGAACAATGAATGAAAGAATGTTCAGTGTTAATTTAGAGACGAGCCTGTTCACCATGTTCACCTGCTATGACTGAACCAGGTATCCTGGCCACATCCTGCCAGACGAGGACCTGCAGTGGGTGTTCGTGAACGCTGGAGGTTGGATGGGCTCCATGTGTCTGCTCCACGCTTCACTTACAGAGTACTTGCTGCTGTTTGGTACCGCAGTCGACACAGGAGGACACTCGGGTGAGGAAGGAGGGGGTTAAAAGTCTGTGAGTTTGTCGTGCAAGACGAGAATCATGAAGTTAAGATTGATTGTGAGAAAATATTTAAACATGGTTTCTGCTACACACCTGGGAGTTTATTTGGCAGCTGTAATGTATCTCCCCTTGTTATTTTTCTTAGGATTTTGTGACGAATCAGTGTAAAGAACTAATATTAACTCAATGTCCACTTGGTGTTTTCATCAGGTCGTTACTGGGCAGAGATTTCTGACACTATCATCTCCGGCACCTTCAGACAATGGAAGGAGGGGACAACCAAGAGCGAAGTGTTCTACCCTGGTAATATAATAACATTTTGTGTTTTTATAAAAATATTCGTAATTTTCCTTAATTTTCTGTGTTTTTTTAAAGTCTAAATGTATCTTGACAGGAAAAGCCAATGCATTTGTTATCTTCTCTTATTCCACAGGTGACACCATCTTACACGGTGTAGGCGAGGCCACGTCAGTCCAGTGGAGTGCCGGGACGTGGATGGTGGAATACGGCAGAGGTTTCATCCCGTCCACGCTGGGATTCGCTCTGGCTGACACGCTGTTCAGCACCCAGGACTTCCTCACAATGTTCTACACTGTACGTGTCTACGTGAAGGGTATGCTGCTGGAGGCCGGTACGCTACTTACAGAAGCCGGAGTTTTCTGAGGCGCGGTCGAGGCTCGGAGGAACTGCACACTGACAGTAAACTCAAAAAGATCACTGTGTCAAGCTATTTTTTACCTCAGACTTCTACGATCTGTGCGGATGATTATAAGTTAAAGAGTTAAATAAGTGTATATATATATATATATATATATATATATATATATATATATATATATACACACATACATATATGTAATTGTAGACAATCCAAAACTTGCTGCAGCACAAATCATTGTCTTTTAAGTTCTCTCCCTTCTTAAAGGAAGATCTAAACATTAACACTGACATCAAACTTCTTTACTTATCTAAAAAAGTCCAAACTCATTTTATTCTAAATCTAATCTGACACATAGAATCCCTTAACGTTCGTTATCTTCGTCCAAACGACAAACATTCTCCTGAGAACTCAAACTGTCTAAATGGTTGGTAAAGTCTTAATACTCATTAAAATACATACACATTGTTCATGTTTCAGAATCTGACTTCGGGATTTAAGGTCTGAAGAACCTTACAACTAAGACAATGTCTGTACACTAAATATCAGTTGCTCATCTTTGCCCATTTAGGGCCTGAATAATAACTTTTAAACAAATGTATGCAATAATTAATTTGGCTTTTAAAACAAATGCAAAATACATGATGCAATGCCAAAGCCACTATTTTCTTAGTAAATACTTGTTTGATATTTATATGCATAAGAATTCTCAGTAAATGATGAACTTTTGTGACTATAGTTGTTTTAAGATCCTGATCCTCTGCTGATCTGTTTGTACGATATATTTACTATTTCAGAGCCACTTCTGCGCAGCAAGAGATTTATGACAATAGAGCAACATTTCTCCTTTTCTCACAATCTCAAGATTTTCAGCTCAAAACTTGTAATTTGTAACTATAATGCAGTAACTTCCCACCACATCTTGTACATGTCGCACAGTTAGAAACACACAGACACGTTCTGCAGCCCTTTAAAATGTTTACGTAATTCATTTGTCTGAAAATATTGAGAAAGTATTTTAGACCTGCTGTGAGATGTTGTATTTCATTCAAAAAACTGGTTTTATGAATTTAGACTTGGGACAAGATTGTTTCTGTAACTATATCTTCAACAAGAGGTTTTGTTAGATAGAGACAAAAGAGAAGTCTGTCAGGCCAAAGAGTTCCTGTCCCCCAGTTAACCAATAGTCTGATTCATAACATCTGGGAAACAAATCAAGTTCAAACCAGTGAAGTGCAGTCAAATCTCTCCCCAGTCATTAGGAGCCTGGTCTTATTAACCAGAAACAACTGCATGTTGCAAAGATTTCTGCCAATTAAGAACCTAGCTTGAATGACTTTTAGTTTCTGACCGAGCTACAACTTTATAACACTGAGCAGAAATGGAAATCTAGTTTGTGTACTTCAAATTACTGCTGCTGAATCTCTCGTCAGCTTCTTCTCCCCTTCAGATAAAACCGTCTTATTTTCAGTGTGATGCCTGAACAAAACAGAGACCACACACACACACACACACACACACACACACACACACACACACACATACATACACANACACACACACACACACACACACACACACACACACACACACACACACACACACACACACACACACACACACACACACACACACACACACACTTTAATTTACCTGAACTGGAGTTAATGAGTGAACACGCAGCAGCGTTCTCGGATCGATCGTCAGAAAACCTCTGTGTGCTTGACATGCTGACAAGCGGATGTGCAATTTACTGTGAAGATGGAAACTGACTGTGCCAGGTGAAATAAATATTTCTGAAAGAATATGACAAGCCTGTTTTGATTGTTATTACATTAACATTAAGTTAAGATCAATGTAAAATGGCTCACTTGTACTGAGACGTAGCTGTAGTCGTACAAAAGCTAATAATCACAGTAGATATTACATTACATGAGAGGTTTCAGGACAAACGTCCACTCTCTTCCTAGTGTAATCATTTGTCTGCTGGGTTAAGAGTTTGTCCTCGTCCTTCACTGTCTCCAGCTGCTCCTCCTCCTCTCTCTTCCATGTCCTCTCGACACTCTCCAGCTGGTTCTCCGTCTCACTCAGCTCGGAGGAGTTGGGCTCTGAGGCTCGTCACAAGGTCTTGTTGCTGCGTGGTTCACAGCAGAGAGCAGATCTACTTCCTGATGAAGCTCTGAAGAAACTTGTGCTTCTAACAGTTGCTGCACAGTTTTCTCTCGTCTGCTCAGTTTGTTGTTTTCTTCTCAGTTTATTTTAAACAACTAGTGAACTCCCATCATGCACTGCAGCACTTTGCAGCACTTATTCTCTTATGCACCTGATCCTGGGGTCAAAGGTCAAAAATAGTTTCAGTCCATTTAGTGAGAGTCAGTGTGTTTTTGTAAGAGTTGTCTCTTTCCTACTATTATATGAATATTTGCACAATGTTTGAACATTAAATTCACATTTTCATTTTATTTATTTACATTTTAATGTGTATTTGTGCACAGTCGTTGTATGTTTGGATGGAATGAGCTCGGTTGTAAATGGTTTGGCCTGTTTGCGTTTTGTAATTCTAAGAAACGAAAAATGGTTCAGTCCGTCGTGAGTCCTGCCGACTGACGTCATCACTGTTTACGAACTCTAACCCGGAAACAACCGACGTGAAGAGCCCACCGAAAAAAAACCACAGACGTGAACTTTTGAATTCACAATGGAGATGTCTTATCAGTCCATGAAGATCGCTCATCAGGCTCGAGAGGCGGTGAGTGGACGAAGGTTTAGTTTTTCTTCCCTCGAGCAAGTAAGCTAACAACTTTTTAACCAACTAGCGATGCTAACTAGCCACTTGGGATGACGCGTCACGAACTTTAGTTTTTCTTTTTATGAATGTAAAAAAAAATGAACCGTTGACGTCACACAGATCGTAACACGTGTCCTGGTTTCACGTCATCGTGTTTCACGCATCGTGTTCCGCAGATTAAGTGTCACAGCAACAGTTAGCAGTTAGCATTTGAGCTAACGGAGGAAGTTTCTCATCCATCCACCGCAGCGTCCACTGGTTGCCTAGATACCAAGTCAGGTCGTCTGTGGCCATCGGTCGCCCTCTACTGGCAACACGTGGAACAAAGTTCCTCTGTGCAGGTTCTTCACATTGATAGAAATAAATACACAAACTGTGGAGAAGTATTTAAAATCAAGGCAGGAATACTATAATATTTACAGTTCTACTATATTAGAATCAGAACAAAATGGCATATTTGTACAGTTGAACTGTAAACGCAGGGTAACATCCTCTTTCTTGATACTTTGCTGTACTTCTAGAAAATGTACTGGGACATTTGAATAGAAAGGAGCTGTTAAGTTATTGTGTAAAAATAATCATGTGATATGATGACAGGAGAACTTGTTTTCATCTATTTTCCTCCGAACAGTGATGAAACCAAACTTAAAAATCACTGCTGTCGCCAACAGGAAGATCTGAGGACTGACACGAGGAGGAAGAGTCTTCTCATCCTCATCTACCACCACCTGCTGGGGCAAGGGTCAGTAAGACGCACTCAGCAAACAGCAGCGACATGCGAGGTGGTTTTTGTTTTACGGCAGATGTCACTGTGAAGAGTGAGAGAACACAAATGCAGTCCAAGTAAAGAAATGAGAGGGAAACATCAATAACCTCCATTATACACGTAACTAAGGAAACAGGTTTGTGAGTAACATCAACAGAAAGCCTGTGTCTGTCTTTATATTGAAAGTATAGAAACATGCTATCCATAGGCAGAACTAAGTAAATCATGTTGGATTCCTGAGGCTCACAGCATGAGACAGGACACTTGGCTGTTGCCTTTTGAATTTTAATGCGCGCGTGTGCATGTTCTCCAGCTACATGGAAGCAGCAGTGGCCTTGGACCAAGAGATGAATGGAGGTGTGAGAAAATTCGAGGTTTGCGACAACATCGATCTGGAGATGGTGCTGATGGAGTACGAGAGTTATCACTTCGTCAAGTTCCAGAAATATCCCAAACTTATCAGAAGAACAGCAGAACCAGGTGTGAGACCTCCACCACCACTGACACACTGAGAAACACTTTGAAACAGCATGCCGCTAAATTCTGAACCACCGAGAGAAACCCAGGATTTCTCAACTAAGTCTGTGTTTTCTGTTTTTTTTTTTTGTTCAAGTTGAAAACAGAATTGTGAAAAGTGGTGGAGTAAAGAGGTGAGAATCTGCAGCTCTCACACTGTTCTGTGATAAATGAGTAAGATACACAACACAATGTGAAGAAGAATGAGACTGACCATGGTGTTGATGAATAATGTCTGCTGTGTTTGAAAGTGTAAAAACGGATTCCCTCAGTTGATTGGTCTCTTTTTGTCCCTCAGGACTCCTTGTTCAGCTGTGAAGCGTCTTCCCAAAATCAACCCAACCCAGAGACCACAGTCTGGAAACGGAGCCAAGAAGGCAACCACCAGTGTATGTACATACACACACACACACACACACACACACAGATTAAAAAACTACCAAAATAAGTAATTTGCATAAAGAAAACCTTCATCTAATATCCTAATGTCTGTGTGTAATTTCCCAGGAGAACGGCTCCTCTGTTCCTCCAGAGATTTCAGACTTTGGTCTCAATGTTTCGTCCATCAGAAGTGGACCAGCAGGGGACATAGCAGGGGACATAGCCATGAACAGAAAGGTACTCTGTTTAAAAGATTTTGATTTATTTCCATTGTTTTTTGTTCAATAAATTCTGTTCAATAAAAATCCAAAAGGAGGATTTTGTTTGTTGTTGTGTTTTTTTCTTACGGCACAAAACCCATGACTTCATGCTGTGTTTCAGGAACGGCTGCTGAAGCCCCTCAGTGGCTTCTCTGGAATGGACGGAGAGATGTCAGAACTGGCTGCAGTCATCAGCAGGGTACTTCACACACATGAATGCTATTTCATATGCAAACATGTAGAGCTGATGTTCTGTGAAGACATCGTTCAGGTGTTTTTTTTGTGATACCAAATGTATCCACTGGAGGGCAGTGACAGACTTGGTGTGAATGAACTGATCTGTTGTATTAATGAAGGCCCAGGTTCTATCTATTTCCCTTATCTGATGTTTCATCCTAAAGGACACCTCTTTACGACAACCTAATCGCACCCAAAGGTGTGTGTGTCCATTTCGAGCTGATATCACATGCATTTCTCAATCTCTCTCTGTCTGTGTGTGTTTGTGTGTGTGTGTGTGTGTGTGT